TCTGCAATCAAGACCAAAGATCATTGCATGGAAACATTACCAAAAGTTAAAAAAAAAAATGTACTTCTGTTCCTTTCAACATTACAATTTTTGTAAAATGATGAATTAAATATATTAAAGTTGCTTATAGGTTTATTAAGATGTTTTTCTCAGTAAAATACCATGTTGTCACTAAATATTTTTACTAATAACTGGACAACAGGTAGAAAGTCCTTTTTTTTTTTTTTTTTTAAGTTATGAGACTGAAAAATATATTATTAGAGATTAAAATTGCTTTCAATTAAGCCAAAAATAACTAGTCCTACTTTCGAGCTCTAACGCAGATGTTTTTAGTTAAGCTAATAAATTAATAGCATTTTTACGTTCAGAAAAGAGTCACATGCAATCATACGATGATTGCTCCTTTCATAGACAAATCTTAATAAAACATGATCAATCGCATTTTTGTTCTTTGGTTGAGATTTATAAGACTCATAAAAAAAAATCAATGTGAATTTTACTTTTAATTTAATAAGTTTAACTAATCATTACTTTATAATTTTAAACAAGTTTTAATAAATAATTAAAAAATGGGTTAGAAAGAATATATGATTATTATTGATTGTATGAGCTGCATGAAAAATAATTACGTGTAAAAAGAATTATAAGTTAAGATAATTAAGTTTAATTGTCTTGTTTACTTTTTCAGTTTTTGGATCATATATGTCTAATATAATGTCACTAGTCTCTTTTCCACTTACGAATAATATCATAACCACGCATCTTAATTAACCCAAGATTTAACATGTAGTAAAGCTCTTTGATTAATTTGTATTTTTATGTTTGGATGCAGGAGAAGCAATAAAAAAAAATTAATAGTATTTTATAATTAAACCTTCCTTATCTAGAAGTTTTCTAAAATATGGAAAATGATACGAGGAATTATCATCTACTATAAGAATATAGTTAATGTGTACCTTAAAATACAAGTGAAAGGCTAAAATAGTGCTATTACCTTGTGAACTGAATTATATGATTAAGACATTTAATTGCACCTTATCAATAAGGGTTTAACAGAGCTATCACACCACCATTATTATTTTTATTTAATCATTGTTGTTACTTTTTAAAACTAAATATTTATATTTATATATTCAATTTTTAACATATTATCAGTGGATTTATATTAAAAAATTCAAATTAAAAAAATTGTGAATATTTTTAAATTTTAGTTTCACATTTCTAACATTCAAGTATAAAGAATCAAACCTACTACTTAACCTCCCATAGATCTTTTCTGAAAAGAAAAATTCATCGATATTTTTCTTTCATTTTAATTCCATGGCAGAAAGAAAAAGGTTCAATCTACTGAGTAAGCTTGAGCTTTTACGCAAGTATGAAACTGAATGAACATATTGAAAACAACATGAAAGCGATGGTACCTAGTTTTGTTAATTCATTTGAATGTGACAGTGATCAATCCAACCCCCCCTCACACTGAAAACGAAATTTATCTTCCCTTATTTTGGTTGATAAAATTTTAAAAGGAAAATAAAATAAAATTACACTTACTTATATCATCATACAGTGCCAAAATATATTATATTTCTCATCAGAATCAATCAGATAATCTCTTTGAATTCGTCTACGTTTACTTAAATATTATGAATCGTATATTTTGCATTAGATTAATATTTATAATTTTTTAACGATTCTGTAAACAAACACTAAATCTTGCTTGAACTGTATATAGGTAAGTAAATTTTGGAAAGGACGGTCATCACAATGATAATCGACTGAAATTTTATTCTTTCATGCATCTTCCCCTAATAATGTGTTCAAATCTCCACTTTCTTTGAGACTCTGGCTTTGGTCGAACTTTTTGTTATGGAGGCTCTTTCTTGCCTCTTTGGCGTGTCATACAGCTAGTAACTCACTATCTAGGATAGGTGGTTCACTCCACTAGCTTTGATTCTTCCCAAAGTATGATAAATTGTGCCACCAGCTTTAAAGTCCTGGTTAATATCCAAAAAGAATATATTAGAGACAACTCATTCATAAATGTCTATATATCAAATTTAAGCTAATTAATATCTTCTTGTGTATATATCAAAATAAATCTTCCTACTCTTTATTTCTATAAATCCTCCTATTATTAAATGAGAAAGTATTTAATGCATTTTATACTGTTAATACAATAATAAATGAACATTTTCATTTAACACTTGTTTCATAAAACAGCAGGAGAATATAGCAAAACTATAAAGTAAATAATATTTGGGTAAAAGAGGTATTTGAAAAACTAATAAAAGAACATTCATAACTCTTTAAAGTTTTTTTTAACCTATTTTAATAAATTTATAGTTAAACTTGTAGGACAAGTTATCATATATAAAAAGAGTTTATTAAATAAGCGTCTAACTAAGTTAGTGTTTAAAAATGCAATTAAAATTTACATGTTTATTATGAAGGGTGGACAAATTAGATAGATTGAAAAATGAATATTGGGATAAAAGCAAGGAAGGAAGGAAACATTCCCAACAATAGAACTCAAATCATAAGATATATGGGAGCGCCGTAAAAGAATTTATTTTTAGAAATGATGTAAAGCCTCATTTTCAATACTTTCTTCCCTTATCTTATGCCTCTCATAAGATGCTTAACTTGTTTTATTCTTTCCATATTCGTACGTTAAAACAAGCTTGTGGTTCTCATTAGTGAACTTAGTTTGGTGAAAGATATAACATTGATTGAGGCAGCTGGAGTTATGAACATAACCACTAATAGATAGTGTAGACATGTGGAATATACATAGATGGATGTATTGAATATATTCTTGTATGTCAAGACATGAAGCATTTCATTTTTTGAGTTCCTTCAATTAAAAAGAAAATCAAAATGTTTTCTAAAGCAGAATCCTATCCATCCCTCTCAGTTAGTTCTTTAATGAGATCACACCGTGGCCGTTAATTAGATATAAGATTCGAGCATATTAGATTATTGTTCTTCTGTTGTTGTACTTCTCTAGCTATAAGCTTTAAAATGTGCATATATTGGTGTTATTCCTTGGGAAAATTCGATATATTCGGTGACATGTTAGAGAGTGTACGTGGGGTGGTTATTATTAGAGGGTGAACATCAACTATCACCTGATAAAATCTTGCTTTGCCATTTTCTATGTTAAACTTGTTTTTCCTCAGTGCTTTTCACTTTGTTTCAAGGAAGGCTAAGTTTCATGGGCGACATGTCCCATCCATTATTGCCGATAGACCATTACATCATATGCTTGTGAAAATGTCGCAATGGGAAAAATATAATAATGCACGCGCTATGCGTCTCATGTTGGGAAGGAGAAAATTTTATATGCTTCTCGATTAGAAAATTTAATTTTGATGCGTTATTAATATTAAATATAACTTGTGAAATGACTATTAAAAATTTAATAATTAATGATTAATAATATAAAAACTTTATACTGTAAGACTCAATTTAGATAAATTTCTATATATAATGTTAATGGATTATATATAGCGAGAACTTGTTGCTGCTCATACGGTCAATATAAATGGGTGTGAAGGAGGATCAACTACCGCATTCAAATCGAAAATTTTGCTGATTCTTCGGCACCTGGATTTATGGTAGAAACATGCACAGAATATTACAGCAATCTAAACATAGATTGCGAACCTGGTCTGGCTTTCAATTCTGCTGGTTGAATTCTTCAATCACATTCTTTGTTATTAAATGAATTTTATGCAGGTCTCCTTAAATAAATATTGGATCAAGATTATGAAATAAAACTCCAATTTCATCCATAACGAATATATATATTGAAATGAATGTGTTCCCAGTACTGTTCATACCCTCATTAAATTGGTAGTAGGCTTAATTAGTAGCTAAGGCATTAGGGTCTGGCAGCATTAAATTCTAATCACAAAGTTTACATACATAGTCATTGTCATGGCATATGCTTGATCGGCGCATCGACTTTTGGTATAAACTTGATAACGACATGCACTAACTTGAGATCTCACTTTTTGCTAGTGTAACTAAAAAATTCTTTACTTCAATATCAATATATTTGATTAAGACACCCACTAGCTGCTGCATCTTCTGACTTCTTTCTTCCTTGAGCATATAGTGAAGTGTTCAATCTAAAATGTGCATAAATAAGTGTCGTTTAGCCTTTTTTAAATCTACTCCATTATAATATAGTAAGTGTTGTTTAGCTTTTTTTTTCTTTCAAAAATTAATTTACAATACAAAAAATTTATTTATTATCTTTCATCAACTTTATTTTTTTTCCATGAAACTAGCTAGTGGTTTATCATTGTTCCTTTTTTAAATGATAAAGTATTGGTAACATAATCTCTAAAAAAAAGGATAACTTTAGTCCGCTGATATTTTTAAGATTTCTTTAATCGTTACAGAACACTCTGACATAGCACCAATTGTGAAATAGATGAAATTGTTAGGGAGGGGAATGTTATAATGAACAGACAATAGTTATTTAGTCACAATTTCATAACAATAAGAACGAAATGGCTTTCCAAATTTGTCCTTTGTGTACTAAACGAAATTAAATGTGACGGAAAAGAATGGTATACCTCGTAACTGAATAAACTATAAACAATCAAAATTGTCTCACAACAATGCTTATTATATTAAGCTTTAGTCAGTGGAGTACTAGAGTTGAACATCGGTGCTTGGTTATTAACAGCAAATATAAGAGAGTTATACATTCTGCTGAGGGCAAAAATTGAAATTACTAACAGACCAAACTGCTAATACGAATCGCTGGTGGCATCAAGAGTTAGAATAGTTGCAAATTAACAACCAACTATTAATTGTTAATTAAGACTTTTAAAAATTGAATGTAGATGTGCATTATTAACCCCATTGTATACATGTATATCTAGAGGGATTTAGGAGTATATCCCAATCTTAACCATCCAATCATACATGAGTAATTAAGAATGTATAGGTAATCCCTATGATGTTTAGCATAGACTACTACTCATCACAAACCACAGAAAGCTTACATTAATTAATAAAATTGGTATATTATGACACAGCCAACATAACCATTACACTCCAAGAAAAAACATGGAGAAGAAATAAAAAAGGAGGAATAAATGCATAGCATGATAGTCAAACACAAGACCTCCTCCTTTCCAAATCCTACACAAACCATCTATACATCTGAATCACAACCACTGCAGAGCCACAAGCACCCACCAATGGAAATTTACTCACACAGGTAAAAATGGATGCAAGTAATCTTAGAGTTGCCTAAAGCATCAGTAGACAGACATTGCCAACACATGATAAGTTTGTCTTGGCAGACACAAGAGAAAACATACATATACATTGTACAAATGCCATATTAATCTTGAGATGCTCTTCACTAACTAAACTCATCCTTCTCCAAACTGAGGTCAGATATGAGAGGTGAAACACTAGTTAGACCAAGTTAAGATCACCTTAAGTCTTAGAATTAGGTGATTCATTGCAAACTACTAGGCCTACCAGTTGCTGGTATCTGGGTAGCTTGTGGGAAAGAATGATACACCATCATATTGTTATCAATTGCATTGGATGAAGATGCACCACCCTTCACTGTTTGATCCAAGAGTCGAACCAGCGACATGAAAATTTCCATCCTCGTTACGTCCCTGTTTGCCTGCAAAGGAATTAAAAGTGAGAAACTGGCACAAGATTCAAGAGTACCATCAGTTATTTCTCTTTTCAGCGTATTACCTCAACAGCAAAGCGTGCCCAGATCTTGTCATTGCGAGCTTCCATGACCCCCTTCAAGATGGTTAAACCTAGCCCTCTGATTAGGTCGGCTATTTCTAGAAAGAAGCCACGTTCCTCGCAAAGCATCTGTAAGAATAAACATACAAAAAGATTAATGCAGCAGCACATATACAAGGCACAAAAGAATTTATAAATTTATAGAGCGCCAGTTTTTACCTCCACTAGCATCTGACGAGGAGGATTAAGATCCTCAACAATGATAGGACAAACCATTGATTGTGAGCCAACCTCGTATGCCCATGTGGCCCCTCCCTCGAAGTTATCTTTTAATAGCAATCCACCTTCTTTACTAACAATCTGCATATTAAGGAAAGAAAGATCAGCATTTTACCCTCATCAATATTAACATTCCTCAAAGCAAAACATCAATTAAGCTATTTATTCTTCTTAATATTCCTGCTGCTTATAAAACATGTAGGTTAATTTTATTCCAAATCAAGGGCATTGATAAAAATATTTTATCTGAGAGCCACCATATACATGGACAACGGTACTTTTCAAGATACTATCAAATATATTTTGGCATTTCACAAATCATAACTAGATCAGTTGTCTGAGATACTATCAAAGATGAAGTTTATACCTTAGATTCCCCCGTCTGTTTCAGCTTGTCAGCATGCTTTGTCACACTTTGCAAGAAAAGCATATGCTTGATGGTCTTTTCCAGAAGTGCATCGATGCTACACTGTAAATCAAAACGAGATTAAAGAAAATAACGTCAGTACTCCAATGTGATATTTAAATAAGTTCAGGATTCAGATATAAGGGGGCACAAGAAAGGCTACATACTTTTGCTCCATTTGGCACAATTTCGCGTAACTCTTTCACTCGATCTTGAATCATTTGGCGATCTTTAGGTCGAGGCCTGGGGTTCTCTCCAGGTTTAAGTCTTTTCCTATTCGATTTGCAGACTTCATCTGGCCGCTTAGAGTATCCAGTTGAAACACTACTTTCACGCTTCACATTGCTACCATTCTCAACCCACGAACTAAGCTGCGACCCGTATATGGAAGTAGTTTGAGAACAGTTTCCAGCATCATCCTTGCTACAACCAGACCTTAGAGAACTTGTTTCCACAGCGCCTGTTTTAATCTCCATCTTAGGAAAATCAAACAATCTCCCCTGGACTTGATCAGACATAACCTGCTTGCAAGAAGGAGAGGGAACAGAGGTGGTACTAATTCTTGTCAATGTTGTCCTGCAAGACATTTCATCAGAATTCTGTTTTACAGCAGATTGAGCTTTTGAAACCACGGCATCTAAAAGGTGGTCAGAGCCAGTCCCAGAGAAGATGCCACTCTCTGATATTGCTTCATTAACTGAATAACTCTTATCAGGACCTATACCTTGCAAATTCATTCGTGTTGTCTTTTTATCCAGATGTTCTGCATTAGCTTCTAAATCATTGGCAAGCAACTTATTCCAGTCTCCATTCAGTAGATTCCTTTTGAAATCCATACCTAAAACATCGAAGAGGTCATCACCAGATGAAAGTTGAGTACATGCTTCTTCATGCTTAACATTCATTTTCATCATATGTTGACTAGTAATGTCCTTATTGAGGCAATCGTCAACAAAACCAGGGATATGATCGCTCATAGGCACATGCTCCTCAAGATGAAGAGGTGGGATTTTAAGTGCCTGTAACAAATCATTGCCTATTCTTTGATCTGTTGAAGCCAAAGCATCACAAGCATGCTTCTGATTGGTGCCATCTAGACGCAGGTGACTGGTAACTGATGGATTAGTCAAATTAGGCACAGAATAAAGGCCAGCATTAGTTGAATTATCATTTTGAACTCCAAACTCAACTTTTTGTGTAGAAGAAAAATCTGCAGTGGATACTTTGGGAGGGTTTGAAACTGAGCAGTTAATCATATTTGTCCTCAAAATATTACCCATTCCACTACATATTGGGATTCCTCCAAGTAGTGAAGTGCTACCAGAACTCTCAATCGGTTCAAGCATTTGGCCTCCATCTGTCTTCTGTTGAGACATATTGATGGCATTTAATGGATTCAAGTTTGGGTTAACATGACTTTGTCCCCCAACTGCTGATAAAATTTGTTGTTCCATATATTTAAGGCTGCAGTTATTTAGATTTAATTTACCAAAACTAGCCAATTCATTGAATGCAGGTCTGGCATAATGGACAGTATGCTGTTGCAGACATGAATCATGATTTGCAGGTATCACTTTAGCTTCAGCCTCCACAACTGTCTTCTTTTGTTGGCCACAGAAACTTGTGCTGATCATCGATCGAGCCTTTGATTGGCAAAGACTATCATATATCTGGTTTGGGTTATGAGTTTGAGGTGGTAAAACAGAAGCTTGGTAATTATTTATTTCTCCCTTTAGAGAACGAGGTGGTTGAGCAACAGATCTTGAACCGTGAGATGAATTACTTAGTTGGTTGGAACCATTAGTTAGTGAGGAGACACAGTTTGAAGTAATGACTGGTGGATCAACAGTCACAGGCCCAGCATGTATTTCGCTGGAAAGTTTTGCTGAATAATCTTCAGATAGAAGGGCACCAGGTAAACATCCCAATTGCAGGATCAAGTTCTTCACATCATTAACAAATCCCAGATTTTCCATTATCTGCAGCAACAAGTATGCCAGCATTAGTTAAAGGAACATTACAGCTGCAGACAGAAACCAACTTGTTTGGCAGCATGCATACAAATGAAATGTCACTAAAATGATCAAAATATGGGAATGGCTAAAACTCCAAATGATAACAGAGTCTAGAAATCTATGCAACTCAATGACAAACGGATAGCAACTACCAAACCTAGAGTAGGCTTCAACCTGCATACACTTTAAGCTATTCCCTAGCCAACAAATCAACTATGTTCAAGGAAGTACTGAGAGATATCACTCAGGTAACCATGGAAGTCAACAAGTGAATCATATAAAAACAGTGTTCTATGCAAGTGAAAGAATTCACACCATTTTCCAATTTTCAAGGATGGAGATCTAACATCTACGCAATGGTTCGGATGTGAATGCAGAAAATTCTTGAATCGAAGATTATAAGGAGAAATTCTGCAACATCTCATCATAATCCCATTCTCCATTATGAAATCATTGGAGACACCAAGACATGGCCCTAGGTATTTTCAAATTACAGAATAATTGAAAAAGACTTACTGGCAAGAAAGAACCAAGTTGAACAACCCCATGGGGAAGTACAGGAATAACTGCTACTGTCTGCAAACACAAGTAGTCTGGGATTAAGAAACAGCAAGAGTTTAAAAAAAATTATGGCAGAACATGAAGCATAATAAAATCACAAACCTGCATTCCTGCTGAAAATTGGTAATGCAACTCAGTATATACCTAAACAAAACACACAAATAAAGATAAATGAGAACCGAGTTACTAAGTTCATCAACTCCAGGCCTTTTAACCACTTCAAGAATACATATATCCACTCAATCAAATAAAAAAATGCTTATGCAATTTAATTTTTATTATGACAAACATAAATTCCAATTGAAAAAGATGAACATAGACAGAAGTGAGACTTTACAATATTTCATTTACCTATCCACCAAACTTTAAAAAATGATACTCATCAGAAACTGTTCATGCAATCTTATCTTTATAGAAATAGAGTTCTTACGACACTTCAAACTGATCATCAACTTCCTACCTCCGATGGAAATGCATCTCTAGTGAAATTGTTCAAAAGAATCCACTGATAGTTTCCTGTAAATGCTGCACGTCCAATTATCCTGGGTAACAGCAAAAGGCAGCACTTGAGTGTGTTAGGAATGACAAGAAAAACAATTAAATTATGATCCCGATTCCTGAATCCTAATAAACAAGGAAAAATGGCTAAAAAAGAAAGCACCGACCCTTCACCAGCAATATTGACTGAATTATTTGCCATCATTTTGTTAATCAATGAACAGACTCTCTCCTCCTCCTGAATCCCTCCTTGCTGAGATTGGGAAGAAAACCAGCATCCTTCCCCATCTTGGAAAGGCAAATTAGACGTGCTTCGCTGAGGAAAAGCAGATGGCAACGGTTCATAGTAGCAATCTTCCCAGATTAACAGCCTGTCAAGTCAACTATACTCAGTTAACTCAAACACAAATATTCCACAGCAATTAAGGCAAAAAGTCAAAGCCATAGTATTTCAACATCCATTTGGCTGCTTAGAAAACATCGTCTGAAATAAGCAACAATAGATTCATTCATTAAATCAGAAAAAGAACATGTTTATAGGTAAAAAGACGATGAAATAAAGCCGGAGTTCTTTGTATTTTATTACAATTTTTGTCTTTAAAACAAAAAGTGGAATGAAAGCTCAAACTTCCAATTTCATTTCATAATTCTCTGCACAACTACCAACTTCAAATTTAATGTTCTGATCCAAACAGACCCTTGTTTCCTTCCCCTGTTTGCCTCAGAAACAACTAATTACATTTACGGAACTAATTAACATGCTAATTACAGTTCACAAACTCGACAGATTTTTGAACTAAAGCATCATGAGTGATTAATATGACATAGATAGATCAGCAGATTACCCCCCCCCCTCCTTCCAAAGGGTAAAAGGGTTCAGCTTTTTCATTAACGGAACAAGAAGATAAGACCAAACAGAATCAAACAAGGAAAACAAGTACTGAATAAAAAGATAGTGCCCTTACAAATCAATGCAAATAAACTTCTTTTTAGTAAAAAAAAACAAAGTAACATTAAACAAAAAAAAAAAGATTCTAGAAAATAAACCACAAGCAACAAAGTCACATATAAAGTTCCAAAACAGGAACTAACATGTGGACTTTGTCTTGAAAACGAACCAACCCCAGAAATAGAATCTAAACACGAGCTTCGCATGAGATCCCCCCAGAAAGTACAAGCATCAAAATCAAATCCAACCCATAAATCTCCAACCACCAAAGCAGATTCCCACCCAGAAACCAAAACGAGAGAGAGAGAGAGAGAGAGAGAATACAAAACATAAAAGCATTTTGCTCACGGAAAACTCACTTGGAATTATTGCATCCGATCTTCCAGAACACAGCATAAGACCACTGATTCCGCGAGCACAGAGTCTTCAAAGCTTCTTTCAGCAAAAACCCCATTTTTCTTCCGACAAAAGGGGTTCCAAAACCGCGAGAAAGTTTTCCTTTTTTCCGAAGCAATGGAGTCACACTAGCATTCACCAACAGATAAAGAACAAAGGGCGCATTTTTTCTCTGAAAAACTAACTACCACGGCACGATCCTCTTCCTGCCTGTTTAGTCCTCAAACCCCCACTTCGCTTTCTCTCTGGATCCAAGTTCACTACAGTAAGTTCCCGGCACTGGCTGGCCATCCTCCGGCAGAGGATTTTTAGAGAGAGAGAGAGAATAAAAAGAAAAAAGGTAGAGAGAGAAGGTACAAAGGGAGCACAAGCGAGTATCAAAGTTGACAACTTTCGAGGGAACTACACTATCCCACGAGATTCAAGCTTGTAAAGAGCTATCACCTCCATTTGCGCAGAGAAAATGGTATAAGAGAGAGAAAGTGGCAGAGAAGAGAAAACAAAAGAAGAGGATTTGTTTGGTTTGGTGTGGTGAGGTTGTGAGAATGAGATGGTGTTTGTTGTTGATTATGTTCTCTGGTTCTGTGGAAGTGTGAGATTCTTTGTTTCTCTTCTTTCTCTTCTTCTGTTCTCTGTGTCTGTGTGTGCTTTTCTCTCTCTCTGTGATGACCCTGGATGAGAAAATAAATGGAAGTGGCAGGGGAGAGAGAGAGAGAGAGAGAGAGAGAGGAAAAAAGGGCTTCGAAAAAGGAGCGATTTTGACGAATATTACAAAAGTTGCCACTGGCAGAAGAAGGGTTTGTCGGGTTGTGGAATGGAGAGGAGGGAATGGAGAGGATCTGGTTTTGAAACAGTTGTAGCTCAATGAGCTTAGCTTAGTGCATGTTGCTATCTTGCTGACGTCACATAATCATTGCCCCCTCCTTTTCTCTTAAATTACCATAATGCCACACACCAACTTTTTTATGGGAGAAAGAACAAGTGAAGAATTTGCTTGGTAATGTAATGTTTAAATTAAAATGAAATGAAGAATGAAGGTTCATTTGAGGTTGAATGAAGGCTCATGAATGATGATGATCATGAGACATCATGGGATACTGAGGTGGGAAAAATGATGTGGACAGATGCAGGATGATGTAGGATGTATGTTGTTCAATGGCTTTAAACTCGGAATTATTATTATGCATGTAAGCTGAGTTTTGGACATTTTTTAATTTGTTGTTAAGTTATAATTCGATCTTGTTAATGATGATGGTCGGTTGTTTACTTGTTTTGTACATCAATGATTGTAATGTAATAAAACTGAAGGTACCAAAGCAGATAAATTTGAATAAGCTACGGATAAAATAAACGTATTCGGTTTTGGAAATCGAATACCGTTTTTCATTTTTCTCTTTACCAACAAAGTTTCGCTTTGTGACCCCTCTCATGAGAAAATATCTTCATTGAATTTTCTTTCTTAAGAGGACGCTGTTTAATTAGTTTCTTTGACTAACCTTTTTGACTATCTAATTTTTATCCCAAAAAGGAAGTTAGTTCGTTAAGTTAAAGGTGGAAAAGGAGTCTTTTTTTTTACTATCCTTGATGACGAGATTATCTGAGCTGATTCAGATGTCTTAAATTCAAGATTACGATCCTAAAAAAACTCAAAATGATATACATAATAATGAAAAACTATGTAATATGCATTAAATTTATGTTAATTACTTAGAGTCCATAACATTGAATATTTTCAGAAGTTTAACTTAAAGCATGGATGCTTTCACCGTATTAAGAAAGTAAATTAATTAGTTTGAACAAATAAACATTACGATAAATTATTTCCATAGTCTCACATTGACACATTCTTACCCGATGCATTTCTTGTATCCTTTTTGGGTTAATTTCATCTCAATAGATACTGAATTTCCCCTCGAAGAAGAATCCTTTGGTTGCTGTTCTTAGCTGTATGAATCAAGCTACCAAAAAATAACTTTGCGATAAGATCTTACTATTAAAGTAAAAGATAAGGGGGGAAATGTTGCAAAATTGGCGAGCTTGACGCTGATATTTTTCCAACCAACAATAACAATTAAGTCCACATCTTGTACAGTTTAACCGCAAATGAAATCATCCAATTAGAAAATGTGCTTAGGTCAACTTGAAGTTTTACAATAGCCATCATCATTTTAAATATCAATAACAATCAAATTCAAGGACCACTTTAGGAGCAAGAAAGAAGAAGAAAAAAAAAACATAGAAAGACTTAAATGAATCTCGTTGAGGAATCATACATTGGACTCTTGAATCTTGAAGGGTCTTAACTACACACGATGTCAACATTTTTCTCCCTCTAAAAACTTGTTGCATGCCATTAAAAATCAAATGGAAGACTCTTTCTATTTTTAATTTTGTGAGAACAGAAGCCTCCCTGTATGTGCATATAAATAAATAAATAGTGATATATTTTATTACAAAAATTTTCAAATGTGGTAGTAAGCTAATGGCCATTCCCTCTTTCCCTTTAAAAAAATTTATAGTTTCTAGACTGAAGATAATAATCTTGTGTGTCACATGATATGAATTATCACTACTTGGATGAAGCGGAAAGTCTACCCATTCACTTTATATTAAAAAGTATTTTTATTTCTTATGAGTTCGACTAAAGTTAAATCGTTAAATATTTAACTTTTACAAATTCAATGATCAATCAATTCTTCAAATATTAATTTTTACAGATTAAATATAGATAGTTGATTTCCATCTCAATAAAATTGTTACATGTAGAATAAATAGAGATTAGTTTAAATGGGAAGTGACTTGATATTGTTTAAATAAAATTTTAAATTTAAATTTTTATATATACAATAATTTTTTAATAATAGACTCACTCATCGTATTTAGGTGCATAATTCAAATCGAATTCAGATTAAATCAGATGAAAAATAAATAAAAAATTACTATTTATAAAATATCATTCTATAATTCTCAAAAATTTATTATGAGTTTTAATATTAAATTTTTAAATTATAATTTTCTATTTTAGGTGACAGATTATTTTTTAATACATTTATTACAAAAATAGATTGAAAGGTAGTAATCTAACCTATTGAAATTGAGTTTGAAAATTTTCACATATTTTATCTATTGATTAGAGACATAAAATTATTGATGTTGAGTTATAATATTAATAGAATTTTCCATGTATAAATGAAACCAATAAGTATGCTAATTAGTTAGTTAATTTAACTCATATAAATGCTTATATTATAAAATTTCTTTATATTTGTTTTAAGTTGCTAGGCCTCATTTATTATAAAAGAAATCAATTAATTATACAACTTCAATTATTTAAATTTCTTTTAAATATTTTTATGTAACTATATGTATTTTAAAATATATATTTTATATTTAAATTGATTTAAATAATTTAGCATACTAAAAAGATTTTATTTTTATTTTTAATGCTTTATTAAATGAAATAAACTTATATAAATTGATTTATATTATATTTTTGATAATTTTATATTTAAAATATAATGTTTAATGAAGAAAAAAATATTAATGATTTGTAAATAAAAGAGAAATAAAAAATTATTAAGATCGTGAAAGGATAAAATATTAAACTTACAAATTAGAAATCTGAACATTATATGAAATATTTGCTTTTAAAATATAAAAAACAGTAAAATGAGTTTGTTTACAAAATAACTATATTTCTGTATATAAATCTGTAATTCAAAATTATCCTATATTATTTTTTATTATAATATCAAATTTTATATAATTTAAAAATTTGTAATTATATTGTTTAAAATTTAATATTTTATTATATTTTAAAAATTAATATACTTAATAAAAATATTCAACTGATAATTTATATTCATATATTTTAAATATAAATAATTTTTTATTATTAAATTATATATTTGTAAATATCTAAACTATACAAAATTTAATGTAAATAATTATTAAATCAATATTAATAACCGATTTTTTATAAAAAAATATTATCACAATTAAAGTTCCGATAACAGATGAGTGAAAAAAAGATATAAAAAAATAAGGTGTTTATTTTTTACAATTGCCACCAATTAGAGACATTTGTTATTAAATGTGTCATTTGTTAAATTTAATGCTTAATATCAGACTTATGATTCTTGTTAATCTGTATTTTAAAGGTTTCTTTAATATTGATCTTAATTCTTATACTAATTTAATTAATAAATATAATTTATTTACTTATTTAATATTCTTTAACATTATTTTTATTTTATAAAAAAATAAATTAATAATATATTTAATTAATAATATATATATATATATACATAATACACTAGTGTAATTTTAAAAATTCTTATATTTAATTTAAATTTGTTATTTAATTTATATCTTATAGACAAAGAAGCAATAAATTATAATTTATTAAATATAAGATAAAATAAAGACTCAAAGTTAAAATTTTTAAATTTACATAATTGTCCATATACATATATTGCTGAAAGTAAATATTGTACATGCTTATCGAAAATGTCTATTATGAAACGATTCGTAGCACGTATTAATAAGGCTTTCTTCCAACCAAAAACAAAAATGGTGTCTTGCATTTTTCTGATATCTATAAGTGGGTAGTTGTGCTTTTCTTCTTTTGAAAGGACAAAATGCTACTCCACAAGATGTGTGTGTATTCATCAGCCTGCAATCAAGTATCTGCATCATACACCTATCAACCTAACCTGTTCATCATATATTCATACCCTAGCTAGGTACCGTTTGCAAATTCAAACTCATATATATATATATATACACACACATGATGTTTTTAGTTAATGCCTCAACGTGCTACTTTTTTCTCCTCTTTGTTTATCTTCGGTTCTTGGTTTTTGATGTCTTTATAGAACAGAACAAAACACATTTTTTAACCAAATTCTAGATTATCAAAATGCAAATGCCTCATAATTTTCACTTTTTTATAGTTTGGCTTCCGTGTTCTATTCTTTTCCTGGCCCTTGTGCATATTTTTATACTGTGCTGTATGCCTCTGGCTGGTTGATACTCCAGTCATTGTTCCTACCTTTTATTATTAAATTAACACATAAAGTATCTTTTTGTTAACTAAGATATTTAATTAACTTCCATCGGGACTCGTGTATTCTGTGATGCATCCGTTCTACATACAACTTGTATATTCTTATGTTCATATCTTTTTTACAATTTTTTTTATTTTTTATCGTACTAATTATATATTTTTATCCTTTTTTTTTCACTTCACACTAAAATCTCTCTCTCTCCCTCTCTCTGTATATATATAAAATATTTGAAATTTCCGCTAATTATGAAGCTTATACTATATAATGGGTTGAATTACTATATAACATACGATTATGATTTTATGTTGGGGGAGAAGATGTTCTCATGAGAGATGATTCCAAACAAATGATTAAGCCCTCTCTCTAATCTAATAACATGTTTGGAAATTATTATTATTATATATTAATATTCCTTAATTCGCATTTAATTCTATTTATCAGGCAGAGCATAATTAGGATGTCTAAAACTCTGTTCACCTCCTCTCTCTCTCTCCATATTACTAAATTTAGTGGGTTTCGATTACTTCTTCTGTCAAATATATTACCCACATAAAATTTATATTAAAATTAAGTTAGCTATTTACATACTAATTTATTAAATAACTTAATTAAGGTCAATTCAATCATGTCCTAAGAAGATCTAACTTTAATTAA